CAAGAAAACGTTTCAAAAGATTTCCTACAAAATATGCCAATGAGCTACATTCAGGCAGTAGTGACACACCCGAAGGAGCAGGGTTTGCATTCTCCATGAAGTGAAGTCAATTGCATTGCATCTGAAATTGGAAATGCGTTCTCTCGACAGTTTTATTCTGATCCTGGAGCAAGGGAGAGTAATGTTTTCAAAAATGCCTAGGGCCAGATTCAAGGAAAAATGGTAATAATACTAACAGTGAAACGGTAAAGATTCCCAGGAGCGCTGGGGTGTCTATAGCTCCGCTGACTGCAGAGGAGATCAGACACCTGCCGGTTCTAGAAAACCCCAGACTGCGCCTATCTACATCTTTCGATGACTCGGGAGCCAGAATCTCAGGGAAAATCAATGACAGCGACCGAGAAAATGGGACAAAGTGCTGTTTTGGTCATTTTAACCCCGGTGCCGTTTGGTGTGCTGTTCAGGATTTCACTCTCTGCTGAAGTATGTCGATGTAACTCTACCTCACTCCAGAGAAGAATGCAGCCCCCAGAGTTTCTCTGTATCTTTTCCCAAGGTAGACAGTAATTCAGTCAAACACCAGGAGCTGATGCACCTCCTTCGGGATTCCCTTCTCCCGCTAAGGTCAGAGGAGCCAGAACACGGGTACCTCGGCTGCACTGCCAGTGAGAAGAGCACACAGCCCCAGGACAGCTGTCCAGTCCTAGACGGCACGCCTCCTCGCTCTCACACCAGGCTCCTCAGTTGTAAAACCCTGCGACCGTGGCAGAACTACTGCTGGTTTTGCCAGGAGAAGCTCAGAACCAGACTGCTTTCAGGAACAGCTATGGGGTCATCCATTAAAGCTGTTTGAGACCTGCGCTTGAATTTTTAAATGCAGGCAACATCTGTATCAAAATGCAGCGGGATGGCCAAGCGCTTGCAGAACGCCAGCGCGACGGCGGATTTCACCTGCCTGCAGACGCGGGCGAAATCTGCTTGTGGCGTTAGCTCTTGTCTGCGTCGCCGCTTTTTGCTTTCCAAAGGAACCCGCCACGGAGTCCGAGCGACCCTCACCATCCACGCCTACGCAGACCTCGCCACCGAATGCTTGCTGACCTGCTGGGACTCCCCCAGCCCCCACCTCTCTTGGAGAAACGCTAATTTGGCAATACTGATAGAGCGAGGAAAATGGAAAGTTAAGAGATTTGACGACTTCTCACCCCAAAATGGCTTAGTACGGAAAGCAAACAAGCAAAACCAAACTGCCTGATGTCTGGCAAGTGAGAGAGTTCTTAGTACAGTGCAATTACCACTCCGTTTTGGCATGATTCAGTCAAAGTAAAGACAACTGCACTGAAAAGCTGACATTGTAATTTTTTTGGAAAACAAATCGGTCTCAATTCTTCTAAAAAAAGAGAACTTTTCTGACGGAGTAGAACCAGTTCTGACAAAGCTGCCATTGTCAGCCAGGCACAAAAATGTTTCAGAAGGTGACTCCTAAACATTTTACACAAATCCAAATTATGTACTTCTCATCAATAGTCAGAGTAAGGGTCAGAAAGGACAAGTTGGTTTTAAACTCCAGAAATAATCTGTTGACAGCATTAGCCCTCAGCCAAGCTGCTGGTTCCTGAACATCACTTTGTAAACTCCTACTGGGCAATACCTCCTCAGCAGATCAGACTAGGAGCAATAAATTTTACATGAAAATAGATGCTTGCCAACATTTCAGGTTTACCAGCAAGTAGATGAAGGAGTTGTTGAAGATAGATTATACAGATTATATATAAAAAGATAACCTGCCTAATTAGATACTTATGCAAAATTACTGTTTTCTAAGGTGATTAATACTAGTGGTAATTATATATTTAACCACCAAGAGTCCACGTTCATGAATGGTACTTGTTGTTCAGCAGATACTGCTATAATTTGCACTGACACACTGCAATCAGTGAAGTCGCTCTGAATTAGTGTCGTGACTGTGGATGTAATCTGGCCACCGGCGCACCACTACATCGCTTTCTCTGGAGGACAGAGATGGCTGAGCCATGGTTTGAGTGTATTTTCTGCCACTAAATTTGACTTTTCAGTGTTGCTTTTTGATGAATATTAAACCACTCTCAAGCTGGTACAACTATGCATTAATGAGCAAAGGTGGTTGCAAACTGATAGTGTAGTATTTTATATTTCAGATGACTCTTCATACAGTCCGTAGAAAGATGAAGGACCAAGTTTTCTTGTGCAGGGGTTGTGTGGCTCACTGCCTGTGGACTCTGGCTGTAGGGAGCGTGGATCTGGGAAGCAGCCGATTATCCCAGTCCAATCAGACAAGGGAAAAGCTATGGCTCATTCATCTCTGTGCTGCCTGGCCAAGGGACCGTCGTTCCTGTGTTCCTTAACTTGACCTTAAGGGCTGCAGGCAGCCAACAAAAGTTAGCATCCATCTACTCCCGACTCCACCAACGCTGGGAATCGGCCCTGCACGCATCAGCCCCAGCAAACAGAGGGGCGTGCAGGGCTGCTCCTTGCCCATCCGTGGCTCTCTCTGTCCCTACCCGCACAGCTCGCAGCTGTGCTGGGCTCCGGCAGCCGTCAGGCAGCTCCTGGATCCCAGGACACGCTGGGTGAGATGGGAGGAGAGGCACCGCTTGGCTGGGCTGTCCCCGGTGTGGCCCTGTTCTGTACATGGCAAAATGCTCGTGGAGCACTGGAACAGGTCCAGACCAGCCTGCCCTCCTGTTCTTCCACTTCCTAAATGGACACACACCATGGGTATCTCCAAATGCAATTTTCAGTTTCACTCCACTGAGTGGGAAGCCAAACCCTTCTGTAACTCACTCTTCCTAAACTGGAACCATCTTGGTGAAACTGCTGCCTGAAGCAGTTGTGAGGGATCAATATAAACCTACGTTCTTTTTAAGAAACCGACCGTTTCGTTCTCTTAACTCACTGGTTCCTGGGATTTTCTTCTTGCCTCTAGGATACTCTAAGTGCAGAATTTTTCATGCCAAATTAATGAATCCAGGTGAGAGAGACTGTCTTACTTCCCTCACAGCTTCCCTCTGCTGTAGGGATCTCCAATCCAATAGTTGTCATTACCAGGAGAGTAGCACTATACCTGAAATACACTCTCTGTAACACCGTTTTTTCTCTGGACACCTCAGTAAGGCTCTTTACTAACTTCATTTTCTCATGGCAAATTAGCAAAGCTATTTTCTTGTCTACTTATTCCTGAATCAAATCAGAGAGTTTTCCTCAATTAACCTCCCATTATTCTCTTGATTCTGTCATACACACTCACTACTAAATTTGCCCTCAGATTATTGCGTCATGTTACACATGTACAGACGAAGAAAGGACACACTTTAACTTTTTTTTTTTTTCTTTTTTTTAAACAGAAGTAGGGAGAGGGGGGCTGAATGTGCAGACAAGGCAGTATAATTCAACCATCCAAGCCCTACCAGAGCATGAAGATTTTATTTTTTAATATTGCAGAGTAAGTTCCCAACAGTCAGTGTTTGTCCCTGAAGAAGGTTAAACCTTAAACACCTGCTTCAAAAAAACCCCAACAACAACAAAAAAGAACCAAAACAAAAACAGAACAAACAAAAAAATAAAATCCAAAAAAACAAACTCTAAGCCTAAGGGCTTAAAAATTAGAGGCATAGCCTTTTTCTCTATTTTCTATATTTATATGAAAATAATTCATGCTTCATGCTAAATACATTATTTACCTTACAAGAACTTTGTCATCTTTGAATAAAAAAAATGGTTTGCTTTTTCTATCCCCCCCCTCCCAAAAGGAATCCATGCAATGTGGATCAAATTTCTTCTGCTGGCTACGCTGGTTGAATCTGGAAATCGGTTGTTATTTTTGCACAGATGAATCCTGACTGATGGCCACTGCACACTCATTTCTCAGGGCCGTGGAGGAGCTCTTTTGTTGAACTTCTGAATTTTACTGTTCACCAATATGCTTTCCTTTTACTTGTAAATACAGAATACTACTAATGGCAGGTTTTGTAGCTTTGTTTCCCCAGTTAGATCAAGGATTTGATCCACAGAAAAAGATTCTGATGTATTTCCTTCCTTACTATCTACTGTAATTTCTTAGACTTGATTGCTTTTCACTCAGGCAGTTTAGAAGACATAGCTTGTTTTTCCCTATTACTATTATTTTTTGCACGCAGTGCCAATCTTCGGGCTTATGGCTTTTTGAACATTCTTTTAGTTTAATACAGAAGACAGAATTCAACGATTAACGATGCTACTAACAGTGCACCCCCTCCCATTTCTTCTCGCTATTTCACTGAAACCCATTGCATACATAGTTCAAATTTCCCCAAACTTCGAGCTATCAGTCTTCACCTCATAAGCCACATACAGCGCGTGAAGCACTCCAAGCGCATCACGGTTTGCCAGTTGCCAGCAGTGGCTGTCCAAAGACTTCTAGGGCACAGCGTGTCCAAGTGCCACGAGTGGTTCTCGGTTTGGTGCTGAGAAGCGCGTGTCTCCTCTTTCCCCCAGATCTCTTTATTCACATTCGCTTCTAACCCAATTGTTAGGCCATTAAAAAAATTCTTAAGGGCCAGGCCTGAATGATTACTAAATTACGCACAGCTCTTCTAGTATAAGAGGGATTTCCAAGTGTCCAATTTTACTCTCACCACATTAACGTTGATGTCACTGCGTACTCAACCATGCATTTTTGACAAGCTGGAGAAAGCAATGGCGATTTTGGCTCTTTTTTTTTTTGTTAACTTTTTGTCTTCAGGCAATGAAAAGCTTTTGTAAATTAACTGAGTGTCAGTATGAGTTCTATGGCTTCAATCTCCTTTTAAAATAAAAATCTTAAGGGTCCCCCCCCAAAAAAAAACAGAAAAAGAAAGAAACAAACCCAAAACAAACAGAAAGAAAAAGAAAAGAGGAAAAAATTGCTGATATTGCCACAAATCATTAGAATTCACCTGACGTGCTGAAACAAAACTTTGTAAGTTCAAACAAATCATTGATTTGTTCTAATTTTTTGTGGTTTCCTTTTGCTCTTTTTGCCCCTTTGCCGTCCGATTGGTGATGTTGTTCAAACAGGATCGAATTCCTGCTAAATGCAGGAGCGATCCTGCAGCTTCTTTCATCTCCTCGTCATCACTCTCCGGGGGCTTTTCCGTACGTCTCTTTTTAAGAGGCAGTGTGTCACTCGGTACTTTTTTCGCCTTCATTAAATGTTGCCTTTTCTTGTGCTGGGATGCATACCCACTGTCAGCTAAAGAATCCTTGGTCTCCTTCCGATTCTGCTTTTTGTCCTCCTCTTCTGTTTCACTATGGCTCTCGTGGCTCTGGAAGCTGACTTCACTTCCTTCACTGCTGTCTTGGCTACCTTTAGTTGCAAATTCGTACTGGTCGTCAGCAGAGGAAGAGGAAACAGAGTCACTAGCAGGTGATGTGCTCCGATGGTTGGAAGATTTGGCACTGCTGTAGTTGTGATCCTCCTTGGGGTCACCGCTAACGACTGGAGAGCCACAGGACTGCTCGCTTTCTGTCCGCATCCGGCAGTTTGTTATTCCGTTCCTGTAAAAACAAATCGAAGCCGTCTTAGGAGCCACAGAGGAGAGATCCTGCCCCAGTGCAAAAGATGAGAAAGCCAGCTGACAGACTATCTATGATGACTATCAAAGTAACGTCCACACAGGCTGGTTTCAAAGCCTGGCTCAAAGCGCTTGTGGAGTGGACTCCACACATAAAACAAGCCAAAAGACAAGTAACAGCATGAGAGACAGGAGCAAGGGGATGGTCACAAATATGGGATGTCTGAACAGTCCTGATTCACGTTTCAACTAATAGTTTACACTTAAAAAAAAAAAAAATCCCCATTATTTTACCAACTGAATATTAAATAAACTCTGATGAGTTGCATAAATACCCTCTCCCCCTTTTCATATAAAATGATACCACCAAAAACATGGGGAAGAGACACTAGTATTCTGGAGTAGTTTTAGCCTCCTCTCAAAGACTCTTCTCCAGCTTGGATGCTTCCTGACAGAGGGAGCAATTAAGTGTCGCACCCAGGTAGTAGTGCAGTCACATATCTGACTGTGATCATTTTATCAATACTCTTAAAAGCAATACAACCTTAAGCCACTAGCTGCCAACAAAGTATTACAATGTGTTTAAAAACAAACAGGAGGAAAAAAAAAATCTGGTTTTGCTCTAGAAGCTGCCGTTGTTCCCTTTGGTTGTATGGCACTTCGTGCTGTGGGACCTACTGCAGCACAATGTATTTAAAAACTAACAGTGTGCTCTTCTGCTTTGGAAAATATTAGAGCATTGCCACTGACTTTGCAATACAGAACACAGTGCTTGCAAGTTGGTTAAAGAAATCAATTACTATATGTAACGGTCTCAGAGGAACAGCTGCACAAATAGATTCCTCTATCAGTTAAAACAAAACCAACGCAAGCAAGACTGTGTAAACCACCACATGATAAACAGCTTTAAAATCTAGCCTCGCCATCTTCATGCTATCACTACAGTGCTTATGGCAGTGTTGGATTAAAACCTTTTCTTAAACGCATACTCTGAAGACAGACGTTTCTTAAGAGGAATGGCACAGTGGCATGTCCGGGGTATTACTGCTCTTCTACTTAAAAAATGCGAAAATGCTTGAAGTTTCAGGGAATGGGCCTCACGTCTGGTTTCTTTACAGAGAGCAGAGTATTATCCATTTCTGAAAGGTAAGGCTGAAAGGTGGAAAATATAAGAGTGGTAGCAGCTCCTATTCATCTAAATGCTCGTCTGTAGAGCTTGCTCAAAAAAAGAAACAGGCTTCTGAGAACCAGTGACAGGACAATGCTAGAAGGCAGCAAATAGATCAGTCATTGCAAATGTTCTTATTTACAGTAGTTTCAAAGAAATGTATATAATAGAAAGCCCAGTTATTAGCAAAGAAAGCCTCTTGCCAAACTTGTTTGCTCAACAAAATTATTTTCCCCTAGATTTTCGAGTAGCTTTATGATCCATAAATTACACACAGAATCCAGAAGGAATACACAAAGCTCCTTCAATTATTAATAACTAAATGCAATGTCATTCATGATTGTGCAGCAAGCCAGCTGCATTTACTGTGATGGTTTGCCACTGCAGGGGTTGTCATTAGAGGATGCCAAATGCTTAAAAGAAGAAATCATCCATACCAAACTAGTTGTAAGGTGAATTTATAACCAACTCCTTAAGATCAGTCATTATGATGAAGCATGTGATGCATTTTAAGTGACAGATTCTTCATTTTTAGGTTAAATTTACATTTAAAGATGTTACAAATTATCATAAATTAGCATAAAATTAAAGTTACTTGATTTTACTAGGTAGTTAATAGTCAGAGCAATGTGGTTCAATAAAGATCGCATTCTACTTATTTTCCATTAAAAAATAGCAATGAATTCTTGCTCCAAGGAAACAAACACAGGACAGAATAGGTGGGAACTCAGATGGGATTCCCACTGACTAGGTTATTAATGAACAAGGCTTCTAACAGATGGGATTTAAATCAAGATGCCCATTCTCCTGTTACTAGATCTACTCCTATTTGTTAGTTTGTACTGAAGGACTATCAATAAAAGGAAAGCTACAGTTCCACGGAGCAGAGCAACCACATGCCAAGACGAGATCCCTGATTTGCCCCGCTCTCGAGTCTCTAGTCTTTGCTTTTACATAAAGGGGATATAATATGGATTCAAAAGCTCTGCCCATGCGACTTAGTCCAGACCACAATCCTTTCAAAAAACTGTAAAAATAGAATGAAAGGCCCGGGGATTACAGAAGCAATGATGTGGGGGAAGGTGTACTACTATGGGGTTGGCATCTCACAGAGAGTTACTGCAAATAGGGATGATAAAATAGAAAAACAAGACCACAGAAAGGTGAAAAAAAGGAAATAATTCATAAAAATGGGAGGAAAGGAAACACTAATACACTTCAAAATAAAGGCATCTATGGTGGAACTGGTCAGGAAATGGATAGCGTTTGCATCTCAGAAAAATCTTTGGGTTTCACTTACATTTTGAAAGATTTCCAACCAGTTCTGCTTGGGGAAATAAAAAAGGAAGAGAAAGCAGGTCAAGGAGAGAATTAGCAAAGGATACCCGCAGAAATGAAAATGAGTTATATAGGCAAAGTGTTTTAGGATATTCACAAAGTCAAAAAGTCACGTACCCTGAAAGTAAATTAATCTGATTTGTATCTTGATACACAATAGCTCAAACATAAGATATGAAGAATTAGTTATAATTTACATTAGTAGATTAATAGAAGTTGAATAAATTACTATCTAAACCACGCATATTCCGCACATGCTCCTGAGATATTCCAAAGCTTTATATTGCTCTTCTACAGTCACATGCTCACTAAGAAATGAATCTGTGATTGACTTTGTTCAGTCGAGATCATCAGTGGGCAGAACTCCCCTGGGTTTCAGAGGACACATTTTGGCCAGCAAAATCTATCTTGGCTCACAGCTCTGGATGGAACTCTCACTTTATTACTGAAACAGTAATAGATCTGGAAAACAAGTGCTTGCTCTTATGTCTGGATTACTTTTACAGAGGGGAAGAAAAGGTATTTAAGAATTCTGTGCTTATTACACCAGAGAAGGGAAATGTCTTTAAAGTAATACTTTATTTTTTCCCCATTTTTTTGTTTGGAACTTTATTTCAACATTTCCAGAGACGGACGTAATGTTTTAAAGCAGTGCCTTGCTCTTTCAGTGAAGTCCATGGGACAGTCAATAGAGCTTTCCATCCCACCGACATGGACTATGTTATTTGCTTGAGGGATTTTAACCATAGTTAAGCAGCTAAAAAGCACCATGCACAGATTCTTCTTCAAATATTTAAATTTGGCTGTAGCAAAATGACACACCCTTCAAGCACTGCAGAGGTAAGTCTGGACTTCTGAAAGCCCGACTCCATTCCCACTGTTAATGGATAGCAGTTCCGCTACTGAAGTCATCAGGAGCCAGATGGGACTTGCACCAGCTGGATCTCAGGTCAGTAAAGAAACAATGTCCTTCACACAGCGTTAGTGCCTCTGTCTTTCAAGGGGGCCTTCCTCATGATGAGACGAAAATAAGTCTCAGTCATTTTACCAAGGGCAGACATATCTTCCTTAAATTTCTCTACCAGCTTTCAAAAAAGATAGGCAATCACATTCTGTTTGCAAAATGGCCAAAAGTTTTTCCAAAAAATACTTACTGTATTCCACACCAGAGACAGGTATATTCCTTTGATGAACAAAGCAAACCTACGTGGAAATTAAGTATCACCTCACCTATCTCTGATCCTTCTGGATGACAGATACTGTATACCCATAGCTGACAGTTTTGGTACGTAATTGGAAACACCCAGTTAACAGATACAAAGAAAGCAGTACAGGTAAGTTGGGTTTGTGGACTTTGACAGGTTCCAGGTTTGCTGAAAGAAAAAAACCCCACAAACAAACTGGGTCTTTTTTACTGTATAAGTAACATAATTTCAAAGGGAAGTTCTGGACAGTCAGAACTTTTATCTACAGGTAGTTGAACTGTTACTTAAACCCACTGCACACCAGCAGCCAGGAGGATGAGCAAACACAGGAAAAGTTAGTGGTGCTCACTTGCTGTTTGATGAGATTGTTAGGGGTCATGGAGTCAAAAGTCAACAACAACAAGAAGTCGGTCACACTACTGACAGCAGCTCTTACGAAGGTATTTCACAACATAATCCTATGCAAAGGACCACAGTAAGCGCGAGTCAGCAGAAAGAGCACTTTGTCCATATCAACAGCAGATCCCAAGTTACCACAGATGCAGCCCTCGGCTTTTTGAAAAAAAAGAATCATCAAGTCATCCAGTATTTTGTCCCTTAGTTACTAAAGAATTCCTTCAGCTCCCAAGGATAACTCATCCTGCCTGTTACAGGTGGGAAGGGGAATACAATACAACAAGGATGATCTGCGGTTTGTTAAGCTGATCATGCCAGTAATAACAAGAACATTAGGAATACATAATTATGAAATTACGATGGGAAGTACCTACCAGTTCCTTTACCTAAGCAAAAATAATCACTCACAGATATAACTTTACTTCTGCTTTGGCATCTATGCTGCACATGTTACTTATGTTTGGTTTATTTAATCACTGCTTGAATGGCTGCTTCAACGGAGGAAACATATGCAAAAATAAAGCCAGCATGAGACATACAGTCACCATAATGAAAACTAGGCCTGAGGAATAATCTAGTAATTGCTCTATAAATTTAAAGTGAAAATAATAATAAATAACAATCTTCCATCTTTGAATAAAGTTAGGCACAAAACTCCTTATTGTCACACCCCAATGCTCAGGAGCTGCACAAGGAAATGTGGCATCAATAGCAGAAGAAGAATAGATATTTTAAAATCTACTCATGATGAAGTAGGTAAGGTTTGTTAGTGTCACATTTTGAGGTGTTTTGTTGTTTTTGTGTTGGTTTTTTTTAGATTTTTTTTTTCAAATAAAGGAAGAGCAGTAGCTCTGCCAGTGCGGATGCACTTGCTTT